TGCTGATGCCGCTGTTGCTTGACGGACAACGCGTGCTCAGCGGCCTCGGCGAAGACTTCCTTTGTCCAGGCTGTGATTTAATCCTCGAGTGCTCGCTGTCGTTTGCTGATATCCTCTCGGTCCTCGGTCGCGATGTCGCCTTCCTCGAGGTCGAAGACGGAGCTCGTGTCGATCTTGGCGCTGCTGCAGGCGCCGTCGAGCAGCGCGCCAAGGGCGAGCACTGGCTGCTCAGGGGCCTTGGCTTTGTGCAGCTCGCGCAGCTGCGCGAGAACCTTTGAGTGCTGCACGTTGTAGTCCGCGAGCTCGGCGTTGAACGGGGCGACCCAGTCCCTCTGGCCGTCGAGATCGCGTTCCAATTTGTCGAGCTTGTCCAGGGCCGACTCGAGCATCTTGGCGTGCTCGTCGCGGGCGTTGGAGATGTTGGACAGCTGCAGTTCCAGGGGCTTCTTGGGCCCTCCTGCCGCCAGGCGGTTGATCGCGTCTATCCTCGCCTTGCTGCGCTCCTGGAGCTTTGCGTTGCCCATCTTAGTGGCGACTGTGCACAGCTCGTTGACCTCGGGGAGGTCCAGCTTGTCCACGTTGAAGCCGTCGTGCCCCTTGGGTTGGCTGCCAGGGCCCGCTGCGCCAGCTCCGCCAGTAACCATGCTAGCGCGGTCCGCCCAGCGCCCTTGCGCCGCTGGCTGGGCTGCGTCGCCTGGCTCGCGCCTGGGCGCTTGGCAGCGCTTGCTTGCGCCGCGTCCAGGCCCCGAGGTTCTTGCCGCACCCGCGCTCCGTGCACTTCCAGCTGGGGCCGGCGCGCCAGGGCGCTGCGTCGCGCCGCCAGCTCCTCGGCGCCATGGCTGCTGGAGTGTCTGTTCCCGATCCTGGGGCTGACCGGGCGGGGGCGTCGTCTTGCTCCGAGGGGCCTCGCAGGATGCTGCGTCGCCTGGGGCGGCTCACGCAGCGGTGCGATGAAAGAAACTGGGGTCTAGCCGCGGACTAGCGGCATCCACTTGCTTCCGCTGGAAAACCAAAGCCTTGGGCCAAAATGGCTACGGGGGGAAGAGGGGGGGGAGGAGGGCGACGAGGGAGGAGGGGTAGGCTGGAGCACCTCGACCCTGGGCTCGTCGAGAGGCGCCGCAGGCCGCGGCTTCACAGTCTCGCCGCGGGCGCGCGCGCCTCGGCCCGCGTCGTCGCCGGGGGCTTCGCGGTGGAGGCCCGCGGGCGCGCGCGCGGCGGAGGGCGGAAAGAGGCAAGCAAGCCTGCGCGGCCACCCCCCCCGGGGCGGTAGGCGACCCGAGGAGGAGGAGGAGGAGATGAAGGAGGAGGAGGAGGCGGAGGAGGAGGAGGAGAGGAACAGGAGGAGGGGGAGGGGGAGGGGAGGGGGGCGGGGGACGGGGGGGAGGAGGAGAGGGAGGAAGAGGAGGAGGAGGGGGAGGAGGAGGAGGAGGAGGATGAGGGGGGGACGAGGAGGAGGCGGCGGAGGAGGAAGAGGAGGAAGAGAAGGAGGAAGGAGGAGGGGTAGGCTGGAGCACCTCGGCCCTGGGCTCGTCGAGAGGCGCCGCAGGCCGCGGCTTCACAGTCTCGCCGTGGGCGCGCGCGCCTCGGCCCGCGTCGTCGCCGGGGGCTTCGCGGGGGAGGCCCGCGGGCGCGCGCGCGGCGGAGGGCAGAGAGAGGCAAGCCTGCACGGCCCCCCACCCCAGGGCGGTAGGCGACCCGAGGAGGAGGGGGAGGGGGAGGAGGAGGAGGAGGAGGAGGAGGAGGAAGGAGGAGGAGGGCTCTGAGGGCTCCGATGATACGAGTCTCTCCCTGAGACCCCTGGCGCCAGGCCGATGCCTAGCAGCCGAAACGTTTGCTGAGGGCTGAGCCCATGCCCAGCCCCTGGGCGGCGCCAGGCCAATGCCTGACGCCCGCAAAACTGGGCGGGACGCACGCTTACCTAGGCCAGAGCCAGCTCAGCGTCACACCTGGGGAGAAGCCCGCCCTAGCATCCCACAACTGGGGCGCCTGGGCGAGCGAAGGCCTGAACACGAACGACTTGATGCCCAGCAGCGCCGTGCGCATGGCCTCGGGCGCGCTGGCCGCGCCGAGCGCGTCCCGGAGCCTCCTGCCCTCGTGGAAACCCTCCAATGAGAACTCCAGGTCGCCCCCCGCCTCGAGGAGAGACGGGGAAGCTGGGGGGGCAGGCAGCTCCTGCTCTGCATCTGTATGATCACGATCTTCACGACCCTGGCCCGCGAAGGCCTGGCTACGTCCACGCCCGAGGTTCACTTGGCCTCCACCAGCGCCCTCAGGCGCCTGAGCCGCACCAGGCTCTCCTCCGCGCTGGACAGGGACTTCTCGGCCTGTTGGATGAGCGCCTTCACCCTGTGGCGCGCCTCCTCCGTGCCCGTGCGCAGGGCGGGCTGCAGCGACTGGATCAACTCCTGCAGGTTTTCCTTGGTCGTCTGCTGCTTGCTGGCCATTGCGTCGATGTGCTCCAGCTGCGAGCCCTTGTCCGCCACGTTCAGCAGCTCCTCCTCCGTCGGCTCGCTGGGCTCCATCACAGTGGCCTGCTTCCCCTGGAACTTGCGTTTCAGCTTGAACTTCTTGAGGAAGGAGTTCTTCCTCACCGTCACCTTTGGACAGGTCGAAGAAATTGCAGCTGTTGCCGACACCAGCTGTTTCTTGGGAGGCTTCGAACGCTCGAACTCCTCCCTGTTGGCCTTGCGGATGGCCGCCATCTGCTTTTCCCTGATGGGCGACGGTGGGGGCCTGAAGCAGAACGGGCACTGCACCCTGAAGCCGAGGAGGACCACCCTCATGTTCAGCCTCTTGGAGCAGTCCTCGCAGTTCCACTTCTCGATCTTGGCGTCCTTGAGCTTCCACTCGTGAGACCCGTCGATATGCCCCTTCAGGTTCGCGAAAGGGGTGCGAACCGACTGGTCCTTCAGCTTCTTCTTCTTCTTTCTTAGTATCCTTCTTCTTCTTCTTGCGCACCTTGGCGCCCTTCTTCTTGTCCGCAGCAGGCGTGCACCACTCCACCTGACGCCGCGGAATCTTCTTTCTCACCGGCGGTGGGGGCTTCGGCAGCCACTGGCCCCCAACCCTGATTCTCCTCGGAAGCGTTCACAAGCGGTCCGCAAGCGCCTTGTCCTGCATGTTCCGCTGGGACTGGATGGGCTGCGTGTCCTCCTCCGAACGAGGCCGCGTGGCAGACGACGACCTCGGCATCGTGGACCCGCGCGGCCTCTAAGAAGGCGCCGAATCTGAACCCGAAGTCCGAGCCGAAGAAGTTCTCCGCAATGAGGAACCGCAGGCTCGGCATCAGGCCACAGCCATGGCTCGCGGCAGCTGCGCCGCTCTGAATCGTGCTGCCGCACGCCCCACTGGGCCAAAGCGGCTGGGAGGAGGAGGAGGAGGAGGAGGAGGAGGAGGAGGAGGAGGAGGACGACGACGACGACGAGGAGGAGGAGGAGGGGGAAGAAGAGGAGGAGGAGGAGGAGGAGGAGGAGGAGGAGGAGGAGGAGGGGAGGAGGAGGGGGAGGGGGAAGAGGAGGATGGATGATGAGGAGGAAGAGGAGGAGGAGGAAGAGGAGGAGGAGGGGGGAGGAGGGGAGGGAGGAAGAGGAGGAGGAGGAGGAGGAGGAGGAGGAGGAAGAGGAGGAGGAGGAGGAGGAAGGAGAGGAGGAGAGGGAGGAGGAGGAGGAGGAGGAGGAGGGAGGAGGAGGAGGAGGAGGAGGAGGAGGGGGAGGGGGAGGGGGAGAAGGAGGAGGAGGGGGAGGAGGAGGAGGAGGAGGAGGAGGAGGAGGAGGAGGAGGAGGAGGAGGAGGAGGAGGAGGAGGAGGAGGAGGAGGGAGGAGGGGTAGGTTGGAGCATCTTCACCCTGGGCTCGCCTTCGAGGGGCGCCGCAGGGGCCGCGACTTCGAAGTTTTGCCGCGGGCGCGCGCGCCTCAGCCCCGCGTCGTCGCTGGGGGCTTCGCGGGGGGGCCGGCGGGCGCGCGCGGCGGAGCGCGGGGAGAGGCACGCCTATGGTTAAATCGGGCGTGTCCCCTTACAGGGGGATTTTGGACGAATCTTAAAACATACTCAAAACAAAGCCGAATGGGCAAAAATAATCAAACAACAATCAAACCCAGACTATTTTCGGACTATGTTTGAATATTCCCCCTGTAGAGGGACAGGCCCGACTTAAGCCTATGGTCCAACCTACTTTCGGGGAGACGTGAGACTCGGGTACGGGGGACTCGGGTTGACCTGACGGGGCCATCATAAAAATGACGAGCCCCAACATGAAACTTGACGCGAGCTCCCGCTGCAAGCATCCCACGAAAACTGGGCCGTCAGAATCCAGAACGCGCTCGTCAAAACAAGTAGGCAAGCCCGAGTTCTGGCTTACCCGAGTCTTACGTCTCCCCGATACTCTAGCCTTGCGTTCGAGCACCAAGAGAGTACCGAGACTGGAGGGCTTTCCCCCGTCGGGCCCTGGGCGGCGATGCTCGTTCGACACTGCTTCGATACTTGTCTGGGTGCTCGAAATTGAGAGGCAACGATAGGGTTAAGTCGGGCCTGTCCCCAGACAGGGGGATTTCCGACGAAAAAAATACCCCAACCATACCCCACAAAGGTAAATAGAAATACGCAAAACAAGTCCCCAGACTATGTTTGGATTATTGTTTGATTATTTTGGGGGTATTCCTAATTTTTCGCCGAAGATCCCCCTGTAGGGGGACACGCCCGACTTAACGACAAGGGGGGTTAGGCATGGGGGAGGGGCATCGACCTGGAATCGGTGATACACCGCCGATAGATCGGCAATGGGCACCCGATCGCGAACCCGCACCTTCCCGGGCGGGGTGGGACCATCGGGCCCCTCAACGACGATCCATGGGCGACGGGGGGTCGATGCATCCCCCCCCTTGTCGCTGCCCCTTGTCGCTGCCCCCGAGAACTTCTCCCTGGGGTGTGGTCCGCAGGCACGAGGGGAGCAGCACAGAGAGGCACGCCGCGCACGGATAGTCCCCCCCGCGCGCGCGCCGCGCCTCGTCGTTCTCGTCGACGAAGTTCAGGCAGCCTCCGCGGGGCGGCCGGCGACGGGGGCGGGGGGAGGCGGGGCGCGGAGGAGGCTCGCGCGGCGCGGCGGCGGCGAGGGGAGCGATCGCTGCGCGACGCCGTGCGAGCGGCGATCCCCGCAGGGGTCGCGCGCGAGGGATGGCGCAGCGGCCTCACGCATGTTGCCCTGCGCGGGCCGGCCAGAGCGCGGCACGCGACAGGGAAGGCGAGAGGGCGCTCACGGGCGACCTTTATGAGTATCGTTTGACCAACCCCCATCCCCAGCGGCGTGGCCTGGGCCCCATTGGCCGATTTACCCCCCTAGATGGGGATATGGGCCGTTCCCTTCGAGTTTCGAGGGGTGTATCCCCAACTGGGGTGGTAATTTGGTGGGGGTCTCGAAGGGGATGGGAACGGGGATGGGGATCGGATAACCGATACTGACTCAATTACGCGGGCAGCATACGCGCGAACGTCGGCGCAGGCGACCCCGTTGTTCCGCGTCGCGCCTGTGTCCAACATCAGCTCCTGCGAGTCGCGCGCGGACGCTGGGCCGTGCCTCTCGTGCCTCAGCGACCGCTTCGGCCTGGCGGACGGGGTGTCCAAGAGGGGGGGGTGCAAGTCATGGCCAGGGGCATGTGCGCGGACCAGTGGGAACCAGGGAACGTCTTGAGGTCAGGACAGGCGCCATGAAATCGGGGGAGACCACAAAAGGTCCTTAGAACATTTTTTGGTGGGCCTATCTAGGCTATAAAAATGCCACGACGCTTCGCCACTGCTCGACCATGGCTGCAGGCCTGAAGCTAGAAGTCGGAGTGCTGAGGTGGTGTCGTGACCTGGAATTCTGCGGCCGGTTGGTTGCTGGGTGCAAGTCGACTTGGGGGGGGAGGCGTACGGGTGCGGGGGATGGAGGGAGGACGCTATTCGATTAGTTCTCAGTTGTTGCTCGTCACTTCGAGGGGTGCATCAGCCTCCTCCCCTGTTCCCCCCCACCGCCGCCCTCCCATCATTGGCAAATCAGTAGGCAGAAGATGGTGGGCTGGGGTTAGGTCGGGCGCGTGTCCCTACAGGGGATTTTGGACAAAAAATTAAAGAGTTGAAGCATGCTGAAAAGCAGTAGAAATGTTTCAAAAACTTGTCCCCAGACTATGTTTTGACTATTCTTGAAGATTCTCCCTGTAGAGGGACAAGCCCGACGTAAGACTGGGGGGAGGCGACGGGGGAGCCGTAGGAGAAGGGTAAACATACAAAAGGGCTCCCAGCTTCGCGCTTCGCGCCGCGCGAAGCGCGAAATGCGAATAACTTCGCGCTCTCGCGCCACCTCCCAGGGGAGGAGGAAGAGGAGACAACCAGAGCCGAACCGCGAAGCGCGACTAAACTCGCGCCCTCGAGGGCGCCCTTGACACAGGCAAGACGCCGAGAAGCACTGGGACCGGCCGGCGGGGCGCGTGGATCCTCATCCCCGTGCTCCTCCTTCTCCAGTTCTGCCTCCTCCTTGTCGTGTTCGTTGTTATCTTCCTTCTCGTGTTTGTTATCCCCTATCCTCCTCCTTGTCGTGTTTGTTGTTCTCTTCCTCCTCGCATCCTTGCTCCTCATCGTTCTCCTCCTGCTCGCTTCCCCCCCCACGCGCTCTTCTGCTGCAGCCGATCCCGATCCTGCTGTCGCACTTGTGCCCCGCACCCTTCCCCATCCTGGCTCCCCTGTGACAATTTGTTTATTTCCCGGGTAACGGTCGTTACCCTGAGGGGAGGGGTCGGGCGGGCAGGACCGGCGGACGCGGCGTGCATCCGCCAGGCTGCGTCCGCGCAACTAGCGCATCGATCGCCTTTGGGGGGGGGTCCAGGCCACCCCCCTAGCACGATCGTTAGCGTTTCTGGGGGGGGGGCGGTTGGCCTGGTTAACAAGCGTTACCCTCGGGACGAACCCACAAAAACACTTGCCTCCCCAGACATGCGACTTCCTGATTTTTTCAAGACGGCGTTCCTGGGAGTCCAGACCCTTTCCCCAGGACCGTTTTTTCGTCCTGAGTCGTTTTGCTGACGGTCCCGAGGACGGGCGAGGTCCCCCCGGGCCGAAAAGATTCAAAAACCTCCCGTCCTGATATCTTTACGACGCGACCATGCCTGGGCCTCCCCCCGCACATCCACGATTTTTGAGCCTCGCCTCGCATCTCGGAGGGAGGCTCCCTGCCAGCCCCCCGGGCACGCGCGGCGGCGCGAGTGCGCGCGCGCCGCAGGGTCCCAATGGTGCCCCTCGTCGAGGCAGCGCCGAGGGAGGGGGGGCACCGCTGTGGGGCGTCGGCACCCGCTGAAGGAATCGTACCCCCCGGAGCCTCCAGGGACCCCCGAGGACTCCCGACGAGGCCCAAAATTCTCGAGCCTCCCTCCTCCTCGATTCCCGACTTCCACGAGGAGATGGCCGCCCTGCGGGGGAAACCGAAAGGTTGCGACACCGCTACGCCCTGGGCCTATCCTGGGTGCGCTCTGCCCAGAATTTCGAGGCGAATCCAGCGGTGTCGAGGAGAGCCTCCCAGGAGGCCCAAAAAAGAAGAAACAAGAGAAGGGTAGGGGTACGGGTACCTGTCCCTCCTCTGAAGGGAGGGCGGGGTCCCAGGAAGTACCGACCAATTCCGAGGGAAACGCTTTTCATCCTGAGTAGTTTTTGGACGGTCACAGGGCCCGGCGAGGGCCCCCAGAGGCCGAATTCCGGGGAAGACAAAATCCGTTCTGATTTCTCCATACGTTGGATCTCTGGTGGGGGAAGCCTCCCAAGAGGCCCCAAACGAGGGGAAAATGAGGGCAGGGTAGCCGTATTAAAGGCCTCCCAGACGGACGGAGGAGGAGGAGGAGGACCAGTGTAAACCCAAGAGTCGTCAAGGATGTTGGAATTAAGCCTCCCTCTGAGCTACCTCTTCACCAACCCCTACAACAGTTCGTTTCCATTGAGGGAACTGCCTCGTTGGAAGACAACCGTTTGAAGACCTTGAAGCATGCCGAAACATTGTTCTCAAGACTTCCACGCCACGGATCGACCTGACTGCTGCGTCCTGCCGATCTGAAGCCGTGTCAAAATTCAGTTTGTGGGACTTCAACACCGCGAATCAACATAACTGTTGCACTCACAAAGTCATGAATCCGTCCAAAACACCATATCTGGTACGTTGATCAGTGGAACCCGTGAAACTCTTCCGACTGTTGTTAAACGAACGTGCGCGGCGCTGACACAAAAGCAACAATTTGAGAAAGGGTAGGGGTACGGGTACCTGTCCCTCCTCTGAAGGGAGGGCGGGGTCCCAGGAAGTACCGACCAATTCCGAGGGAAACGCTTTTCATCCTGAGTAGTTTTTGGACGGTCACAGGGCCCGGCGAGGGCCCCCAGAGGCCGAATTCCGGGGAAGACAAAATCCGTTCTGATTTCTCCATACGTTGGATCTCTGGTGGGGGAAGCCTCCCAAGAGGCCCCAAACGAGGGGAAAATGAGGGCAGGGTAGCCGTATTAAAGGCCTCCCAGACGGACAGAGGAGGAGGAGGAGGAGGAGGAGGACCAGTGTAAACCCAAGAGTCGTCAAGGATGTTGGAATTAAGCCTCCCTCTGAGCTACCTCTTCATCAACCCCTACAACAGTTCGTTTCCATTGAGGGAACTGCCTCGTTGGAAGACAACCGTTTGAAGACCTTGAAGCATGCCGAAACATTGTTCTCAAGACTTCCACGCCACGGATCGACCTGACTGCTGCGTCCTGCCGATCTGAAGCCGTGTCAAAATTCAGTTTGTGGGACTTCAACACCGCGAATCAACATAACTGTTGCACTCACAAAGTCATGAATCCGTCCAAAACACCATATCTGGTACGTTGATCAGTGGAACCCGTGAAACTCTTCCGACTGTTGTTAAACGAACGTGCGCGGCGCTGAAACAAAAACAACAATTTGAGAAACCACCCGCCCTCAATCCGTGAACCCCTTGCAATGTTTAAGAACAAACGTGCGCTGCACTAAAGCGAGAATCAAATTCTGAAAAACCACCCGCCCTCAAACCGTGAAACCCTTGCGTTTGTTTTAACGAACGTGTGCGGCGCTGAAGCGAGAACCACATTTTGAAAACCACCCGCCCTCAATCCGTGAAACCCTTGCAAATGTTTAAGGCGAACGTGCGCGGCACTAAGGCGAGAACCACATTTTGACGACCCGCCCTCCATCTGTGAAACTGTTGCCCTTTATTAAGCTTCAGAATCATAATGGTCAGGACGTCTCAGGCGCAACGCCGGGTCCGCCCTAAAAACTGGCCTCGGGGTGCGCCAGGTAGAAGGAACAGAAATGGAGGAGGAGGAGGAGGAGGAGGGGGAGGAGGAGGGGGAGCAGGAGGAGGAGGAGGAGGAGGAGGAGGAGGAGGAGGATCTCGCCGCATCGCCGATACATCGGCGATACATCGCCGATGCATTGGCGAGGCATTGAGGCATCGGCGACGCCAGCGTGGAGAACATCGGGCTCCACATCGAGCCGCATCGCCGATGCATCGACGATGCGGCGCGATGCTCCGACCCCATCTGCTCGGACCCCATCTGGGAGGCCTGGAGGTCTGGGCACCTCTTCCTCCCCTGCATGGGCGGAGGAGCGAGGAGGCAGGACGGAGGGAGAAGAACGAGGCGAGCTACTCTCGTCCCAGTAAGGTTAGGTCGGGCATGCCCCCCTACAGGCGGATGTTGGGGAAAACGTTAAAAGGTACGCAAAAATGCAAACATAGTCAAACATAATCCCAAACAACTTCCCTGGACTATTTTTGACTATTTTTGAATTTGAGCAGGGAATGACCGTCCTGGCATTCCTATAGTCCTACCACGAAATGTTCCTAGAACCCAAGAATGTTCTAACAACAAAAACAATGTTCTTAGAACATAAGCCCGATGTGTTCAAACAAGACAGACTCCGCCAGACAGGCTCTAAGAACATTTCGTTGGAACCTCAAAAGGTTCTTAGAACACTGTTTGGTAGGGCTATAGGCGAGCCAGGACGCTTCGCCACTGCTTGATGAATACTCCTCCTGTAGAGGGACACGCCTGACTTCACAATAAGGGGGGTGCTGCCCCTTGCCAGCCCCACGGACGGGTGCAGCCCGAGAGGGCTGCTCCGCAGGGAGCGCGCCGAGTCCGCGCCCGATGCCGGGCAGGTTGTCTTTTTGTGAGCCAAAACCACGAGGGCGATCGGAGCCGGCCCCCTCTTCTCCTCCCGATCTTCTCTCCTTCTTTCTCCTCCTCCTCCCTCCCCTCCCCTCCCCTCCCCTCCCCTCCCCTCCCCTCCCCTCCCCTCCCGTGTGTAGGGGGGCCCTCCAGCCATGTGAATCAGGCAGCGTAGCATCAGCATCAGCAGCCTATGGGAGAGCATGCTACGCATGGAATGAATTTGAGTTCCAGCACGCGTAGTTACAAGTTCCCGTGGTGCTGCCCCTATGTCTGAACAAGAGAGCAGGTGCGATGGAGCCGGTGCCCGTTTCGGCCTGCGAGCCGACCAGAAAAGGGCACCGAACCTAACGTGCTCCGGCGGGGCGTTTCTGGAGCACGCTGGAACGTGCTCCGGCAGAGCGTATCTGGAGCACGCTGGAGAGAGGAGTGACGTAGTTGTTGGAAGATCTTTATCCCACAAAGAGGGATAACGCATGTTGACCGTGGGCCGACTTTGGCCTTGGTTGGCACGATAGCTTGCACCGCCATGTGTCTCAAGATCTCTGGAGGCTCAGCGGCAACGCCGCCTCCAGGGATGGGTTGCAATGAATTTTGCACTCTAGGTCAGCAGTTTCAGGCCGACTTTCGCCGTAACGCTGCACTTTGGCTCAAGATGGACGAGGAGAAAAAGGGAGTCGTCAAGGCGAGGAGTAAGCCTCAGCGGCAACGCAGGCTTGTGACTCGCCTATCGGTCTCCACTGAAACTCTCCTCCGTCTCCACTTCGACCTACCCATCTCTCCTGAGCTGTCCCATACTCTACCTGTCCGGCCTACGGAAGCCGTCCGTCTTCTTCGGGAGCTGGTGGCTGGAACGACGATTGACGAGTTGACATCAGAAGAGCTATAAACAGAAGGTTCGACGGAGCCTCATTACAGACTCCCTGGACCTCATCCCCATCAATTTTGTCATCATGTTCCCACATGGTTTCCATAGTGGTGCTGGTGGTAATGACTATTCTACTGCGTACTCCCTCGTCGGACCTGATGGCAGACTCTTGCCAGAAGGCGTAACTGTGGTTATGAGCCCAACGCCGAGGGGCGCTGGATTCATGGGAGCCCCTCCGTCTACATCAATTTCACCTTCTACTTCTACGTGGAATTGCGTACATGCCCATGCTGTGGTGATATTCTGGCAGGCCCGTCAGTGAGCTGCACGGCATGCGGTGGGTCGGTCCACAGCCATTGCGTCACCCGCAGGCTGGGCCAGGCGGTGTGCAACGGCTGCGCGCAGAGCCTGGACTATGCCTACAGCCACCACCGCGCGCAGCACATGATCGCGCAAGGAGGCGCCGCCTTCGGCCGCCTCATGGCCTCGACGGGCACCGTCGCGGGCCAGGCCCTCGGAGCCGTCGCCACTGGCGCCGTGGGCGGGACCGCCCGGCTGGTCACTGGCATGGCCGCCGGAGCCGCGTCCGCATGTCAGGGCCTCCGCGCCCTCGACGCACCGGCTTCCTCGACTTCGGGCGCGGCCCCGAATTCTGCACCACTTCAGCGGCCTCGTGCTCTGGAAGAGTACGACATTTCGGACGCGGGCAGCGGGGCCGCAGTGTCCCTCGAGACCGCGGAGTCGGGGAGCGAGCTGAAGAGCCCCATGGCGGACATGCGCTCCATGAAGCGCGAGATGGAGCAGCTCAGGGCGGAGAACGTCCGACTGCGTTCGTCAGCCTCGGTGGCTGAGGCCAGGAGCGGGTTCGCGACGCCGGACCCTGCTGTGCCTAAGCCGGCAAAGGGTGCACCCCAGAGCGGCCAGGCGAAACCTAGCGACCCAGCGCCCTCGTCGTGCGCTGCGGCCAGGCTCGACGCGGACGACTCCGACGCGCCCGAGCCCGACGAGGACAATGAGCCGAATGCTGCCCAGATCGCCGCCGAGTATGAGCACGAGGACTGGACGATGCAGCAGGAGGCCTCCCAAGAGCCTCCCGAAACCTGCAGGAAGTACCCCCTGGTCTTCATCAGGATCATCTTGGTGCTCTTCATGGTGATCCTCGTCGACTTCATGTTTACCCCGCTGCTGCTTCGCCGCAGTTCGACCACCTTCAGCATGCGCACGCAGCTGGACTCCTTCACCACGCTGCTCCCCAGCAGCAGGCTGGCGGCTTCGTTGCAGCCTTCCCTCAAGGACCCCCTCAGCATCATCATCAACATGGTGGTCATCAGGGCGGCTTCGGAGAACTTCCGAAGCAGCCCCAGGGAGGTGTTGGAGGTAGTGGTCATCACCACGGCGGCGCTCCAGGTGCCCCAGGGGGTGGAGGTGGCGGTGGGGGCGACGATCCAGGAGGAGGCCATGGCTTCGGTCTTGGAGGATTTCTACCTGAGGAAGGTCGCGGACGAGCGCTGGGAGTTCCACCTCCGCCGCCGCCGCCGCCCGACCCTGCAGCCGCAGCCGCTGCGATCCACCAGGGCCCTCCGCAGCGCGACGCTGGCCTGGAGACCTTGCTCTCGAAGATCAAGGCCGCGGAGCTCCCTCAGCTCACGTGGAGAGGGGGCGTGGCGGCCAAGCCATCGAACCTGGAACACTGGGCGGGGTCGGCTGGCCTGGATCTGGGAGGGCTGCACTGGCACATCAAGCGCTACTGGCTTCTGTGTCTTGACTCTGTGCAGCGCGCTCATGCCCAGTACCTCCAGGAGGGCCCGCTGATGCGCCGTGCCGTGCGGCCGATCGCCATTGTGCCGGAGCCGTTCGAGATCTTGTCCTTCCACGCGATCGAGCTCCGCTTGTGCTCCCTCCTCCTCCACCTCGCCCCGAAAAACGTGAAGACCATGTGCTTATCGACGAAGCTCGTCAGCACGTGCGACATTCTCTCCACCGCGTACGTGGACGCAGGGCCGGGGACAGGGAGCGACAAGCATGCAGTCTTGGAGCGAGTGCAGAAAGGCAAGGTGGTGGAGGTCAGGGGGGTGTACAACGAGCTTGCAGAGTGGAAGTTCGCGCTGAACCGCTTGGTCATCCTCAACACCAGCCTGCCTGACCCATCCATCCAAATGGCGGCCCTGAAGCAGACTGCGAGCAAGCTCCTGGGGAGTAACGAGGAGTTCAAGCACCGCTTCTTCGCGTTCCTGGTGCAGAACAACATCGCGGCCGGGACGGTCAACCAAGCTCAAGTGGATCTTCTCTGGAGTTACTTGAGTGCCGAGGCTCGGGAGTACTCGGGCGACGTCAAGGAGAAGGACCATCCTAATCCTTCGACGAAGGCGGCTCGCGCAGCAGCCGCCGCGGCCGCCGCTGCCGCTGCGGCCGCCAGCAAGGGCAAGCCGACCAAGGGCGACCCGAAGGGCGGCAAGCCGGCCGAAGGCGACCCGAAGGGCAAGCTCGGGAAGGGCAAGGAAGCCGCGGGAGGTAAGGGCGTGGCCATCTGCCCGCACTTCAACAACCTCGCGACGGGCTGCAGCGCGGGATGGCCATGCCCGATGCGCCACTGCAAGTCGGATGGCGCCCGACTGGAGCCGACCGATGGGCGCTGCTTCAATTGCGGCGCGGGCGGCCATGACAGGGCAGCTTGCCGCCGGCCGCGGAAGCCCAAGGCTCCGGCGAAGGCCAAGAGGGGCCAGGCGGAGGACCAGAACGCAGCCTCGGCAGGATCTCCATCGACTTCGGCCGCTTGCGCGGACGAGGCGGGCAGGCCGGCAGCCACTGGCAAGTCGGCAGCGGTTGCAACTCCGAGTCCCTTGACTACCAGCGACGTCAGCGGCATCGTGCGACAGGAGCTGAGGTCCCTCATGGAGCTTGGGTCCTCCTCGGCAGTCCCTGCCAGGCGCGTGGCTCGATCTCATCGTCCCCGAGGCCTCGCCGACTTCTACGACGACGACGATCACGAGTTCAACGATGTCCTCGATGTCCCCCCACCCCCGCCTCCCTGGAGTCCGTCAGCCGCTGCTCCTTCTGATCGCGGTCAGCGTGCGTCTGCGCCGACAGCTGCGCCTGCTTCGACAGCAGCGCCCGCGCCTGCGCAGGCTACTTCGGCTACGCCTTCGTGCGGGCAGCCGCCGATCGTGAAGGTGGTCAAGGTCTCCGACGGCCCGCAGGCGAGGAGGCTTCTGGTCAAGGACGGCAGGTGCTGGATCCTCGCGGACACTGGCGCCACCCACGAGCTTCGCGGCATCAAGTCCTTCAGCGACCTGCCTGAATGCGGAGACGGCCCCGCTGGAGATGGCAACAGGGGTGGAAGAGGCCATGATGGTGGGAGATGTCGTGTATGTGCTGGGCGAGGACCTCCAGTGGCTCTTCCCGTTGGGCAGCTACATCGACGAGATGAGCCTAGACCTTTCATGGAGTTCCTCGGCATGCACCCTGAGCTGCCCCACGGGCGAGGTCATCACCCTGCTCCGCGAGAAGGGCGCGATCTACATTGAGGAGGGCGATGCAGAATTCCTGCGCGATCGCAGGCACCAGGCGAAGCGCGCCACCATAGATGAGCGCATGAGCATTCTCGCTGCTGGACTCCGTCGTCGTGAGCTGCTTCAGGAGCACATGGGCGGCGGGCACATCAGCGTTCGACCCGACTGCCCAGGCTGTCGTGGAGCGCAGTCGCCTTCGAGCCCATCACCGTTTCGACGTCTCCACGAGGCCCGGAGGCCAGCTCAGCATTGACACTTCCGGGCCGCACCTCCCAGGGCGGTGGCCCTCCAGCCGCCCCGAGAACTCGGCGAGGCAGGCCGTTCACTTCCTTCTCGGGGCCTACGTCGTCGAGACTCCGGCTGCAAAGGGGGACCGCGAGCGCCTGGAGTCGATCGCGAAGCTAAGCGCGTTCGCAGGCTCCCCGCTCCCCAACCCTGAGCCGACGGCGCCGGGAGAGTCCGACATCGGTGGCGCCCCTCGACTCGACGCTGCGGTCGCGGGCGACTCTGTCGAGCGAGACACCGAGCTGGCGAAGAAGGTGGCGGCCATGTTCGGGGTGAATGCCTTCGGGGGCCTGGGGCTGCGGACGAATCATGTTGGGCCCAGCGTCTGCGTGCCCAACTTCGACCCTTCGGCGCGGCCCGGCAGGCCGAAACTCGAGCTCCCCGAAGAACAGGAGGAGAAGCTCTCCCCAGGCGGCGACCCCAGAAACGCGGCCGACGACGAGGTCGAGGACGAGAGCGGCATGGTCTCCAAGACTTGGTACTTCTGCGTGCCGCTGGAGAACCTCAAGGCCGCCAGTTGCATTCATGCTATCGAGTCTATCCTTGCCCAGCTTCGGATGGAGGTCGAGGGGGCCAACATGTGCTACCGCATCAATGGTGATCGAGCTGGGAACCTCACGGGGGACCAGATCAAGCGGCACTTCGAGGCGAAGAGCCCTCCGATAGCGGTTACTTCGACGCCAGGTTTCGAGCCCAGCTCGAATGGCCTGGCCGAGCGCGGGATCGGCGTGGTGAAGCTGAGGGCCAGGGCAATGCTCCCCTCCTTCAGCGACCCCCTGGACCAGGCCTTGTGGGCGTGCGCCGTGCAGCATTCTGCGTACTGCTCCAGGATGCACGCACAGGGTCGACCAGTGAAGTGCCCCGCTTTCGGTGCGAAGGTCTGCGCTCGCATCAAAGATGTCCTTCGTCCATGTGGGCAGAGCGGGCGCGCGACGCCGTGTTCCTGGGCGTGGACGCGGAGAGCAAATTGCTGATCGGGCGGAAGGACCTCACCGCGAAGCGACCTGAGCAGCGGTGGGTCATCGAGTCCTCGTCGTCCTTCGCAGCGGTGCCTGAGGACCCCGGCGGTGCTCAAGACGTTCGCGGCGAGGATCCAGGAGCAGGAGGAGCTCACCCAGATGGCGTTGCAAATGCGCCACCTGTTGAATCGACCGGCGCTGGATCTCCGGAAGGTGCACTTAATGTTGACCACGGTCTCGGAGGAGCCCTTGAAGGTGCTGATGGGCAGAGCCCCAAGAGCAGTGGCGACCCGAATGTGCCCCTGGAGCCCCCTCCACCCGCGGGATCATCGGACGACCATCTTCGACGACCTGCCCACGCAAACGGCGACCGAGATGTGTTCGAGGTGGCGCCGAAGGACATCACTTGTCCTGCGTGCTGCGGCCTCCACCGCACGCGCACTCGAGACGCGCATTGCAGGCGCGGGCCTCTCCTGGGCGACGCCGGCGAGCAGCCCTTCGATCGCGGAGCTCCCTGTGGAGGAGTTTCTTGCCCTGCCTGCCGCGGCCGACATGTCAAGCACACCGGGGACCGCAGGTGCAGGCTGGGATCATGAGGAGACAAGCATCAACGAGCTGCACTCGCAGGTTTCAGTCATCGTGATGTTCCTGGTCCTCAGCCTTCCCCTCACATGATGGAGTATTTCGAATGCATTCCTGTGGCTTTTGCCACCGCGGCCCCGGAGCAGGTCACCCTCACCGCGGACGACGACAGCGCGCCTCCCGAGTTCACCAAGATCGTGAAGGACAGCGGGCTGAGCATCGTCACGTGCGCGGAGATCGCGAAGACGATCGGGATGACCAGGGAGAAGTGGCGAGCAGCACTCGAGAGCGAGCTCAACAGCCTGAAGGACGGTTGTCTTCGCCCCCTCACGGCCTCGGAGGCGCACTCTGTAAAGCCTTCCGAGACACTGCCCATGAAGGTCGCTGCGGGACAGAAGGCTCCAGACGCTTCTGGCTATCGGCGCTTCAAGGCGAGCGGCTGCGTGCGCGGCAACTTCGAGGCGGTGGACCCCTCGGAGCAGACCTTCACGCAGAATTTGGACATTGCCAGCCTCCGCATGGCGCTCGCCGTGCGCGCGCACCGTCGTTGGAGCGCGTCGGCCCTCGACGTCTCTACCGCACCGCGTTTCTGAACGCGTTCCTCCCTGTGGACAAGAAGCGAGTGGTCATTCGCCCACCGGCCATCTTCGTCAAGTTCGGGCCGGTGCCGGCGGGCGAGCTCTGGGCGGCCGAGAGGGCCATCTACGGCCTGAGGTGCTCACCGAAGGCTTGGGGCGATCTGCGCGACGCGGAGCTCCGCAAGCTGACGTTCACCGTCGGCGCGTTCCAGTGCCACCTCGAGCAGTCTGCGGTCGATAGCTCGGTCTGGCTCGTCAAGGCTAACGGGGTGGACGACGTCTTGGGCTATGCGCTGAGCTACGTGGACGACTTCTTGTTCATGGGCTCCGAGGGCGTGGTGAGGGCCCTGCAGACCTCCATCGGCGCGCTCTGGACTACGAGTTCCCAGAAGATCAACTCCCCAGGCTGTCCGGGAATCATTCGGTATTTGTCCATCGACATCGGCATGGACCCCTACCGCCTGACGCTGAGCCAGCACGAATACGTCAACGACATGCTGATGAAGTGGAACATGGCCCAGTGCAACGGCTGCCAGTCGATCAACCCCGACGATGAGATCTACCTGCCCTTCCAGCCCGAGGACGACGAGGAGAAGCCTGACCCTGATGATGTGCGCGGCGCGCAACGGATGGCAGGTGGACCCCTTTGGCTTTCGAGCCGCACTCGGCCAGACCTGTTCTACAGCGTCTCGCGGATCTCCAGCCATGCGATTCGGAGGCCGCGTGCGTCCCTCGTTCTGGGCAAGAAGGTCTTGCGGTACTTGGCGGCTACCCGCCAGTTGGCGCTGGTCTACGTGCTGAGCATCCCCCACGAGCTGCAGGACCTTATCTGCCAGTTGGACGTCTTCTCGGATGCCAGCCATGGCGATGCGGGCGCGCAGACAGGCGTCGCTTGTTTCATGTATGGGCGCATGCTGGTCGACTGGCGCAGCTTGAGGCAGCAGTTGGTCTGCTTCTCGACGGCCGAAGCGGAGATGAACGGTCTCGCCCTCAGCTGCCAGGTGCTCTACGGTCTGGAGGCGGTCGCCCACTCCATGGAGCTGCAGACGACCGCAGTCCTCCACGGCGACAACCAAGCGGCGAACCACATCGCCGAGGGTCGCGGCAAATGGAGGACAAGGAGCCTTATGGACAACGCCATCCGGAGCCGAGATGAGCGCGGCATGTTGGAGCTGATCTACGTGGAGACGGCTCTGATGCGCGCCGACGGGCTCACCAAGAGCAAGGAGCCCGACCACATGGCGAATGTCAGGGCCCACTTCGGCTTGTGGGGCATCTGAGCGCGCGGCGCCAGAGCACCTGAGGGCCCCCTACACCCCGATCGAGCTGCGGGGTATGTCATCCGATGTTGGGTGCGATCGGGATTGTCAGAGGCCCTATGCACGTCCCACTGCACAGGACTCCGAAGGAGGAGCGTGTGTAGGGGGGGGCCCTCCAGCCATGTGAATCAGGCAGCGTAGCATCAGCATCAGCAGCATATGGGAGAGCATGCTACGCATGGAATGAATTTGAGTTCCAGCACGCGTAGTTACAAATTCCCGTGGTGCTGCCCCAATGTCTGAACAAGAGAGCACGTGCGATGGAGCCGGTGCCCTTTTCGGCCTGCGAGCCGACCAGAAAAGGGCACCGAAGCTAACGTGCTCCGGCGGGGCGTTTCCGGAGCACGCTGGAACGTGCTCCGGCAGAGCGTATCTGGAGCACGCTGGAGAGAGGAGGAGTGACGTAGTTTTTGGAAGATCTTTATCCCACAAAGAGGGATAACGCATGTTGACCGTGGGCCGACTTTGGCCTTGGTTGGCACGATAGCTTGCACCGCCATGTGTCTCAAGATCTCTGGGGGCTCAGCGGCAACGCCGCCTCCAGGGATGGGTTGCAATGTATTTTGCACTCTAGATCAGCAGCTTCAGGCCGACTTTCGCCGTAATGCTGCACTTTGGCTCAAGATGGACGAGGAGAAAAAGGGAGTCGTCAAGGCGAGGAGCAAGCCTCAGCGGCAACGCAGGCTTGCGACTCGCCTATCGGTCTCCACTGAAACTCTCCTCCGTCTCCACTTCGACCTACCCATCTCTCCTGAGCTGTCCCATACTCTACCTGTCCGGCCTACGGAAGCCGTCCGTCTTCTTCGGGAGCTGGTGGCTGGAACGCCGATTGACGAGTTGACATCAGAAGAGCTATAAACAGAAGGTTGGACGGAGCCTCATTACAGACTCCCTGGACCTCATCCCCATCAAGTTTGTCATCATGTTCCCACATGGTTTCCATAGTGGTGCTGGTGGTACTGATTATTATACTGCGTACTCCCTCGTCGGACCTGATGGCAGACTCTTGCCAGAAGGCGTAACTGGCCTCCCCCCCCACCCCCCCCCCCTCCCCCCCCCCCCTCCCCCCTCCCCTCCCCCTCCCCCTCCCCTCCCCTCCCCCTCCCCTCCCCCCTAAATCGTCGGCACTGGCGTCAGCCTGCTGTCGATCTTCTCGTAGATGATTATCTTGATAATCTTTTCCTCCACGGCTCGCGCCAGCGACACAACAATCTGTAAGATATCTCGCTAGCCCCTGGTGGGCTGAAACAGTCACTCACTTGGTGAGTGTGTGGCCGGTCGGCCGCGCCCGGTAGCCTTACCGGGACTCAAGGGCGCCCTCGGACCGAAACAGCAACAGTAGCAGTCGTTCGGTCTCGGGGCGTCTCGGATCGGAAGGCCAACTGCACTATACAAAACACACAGGGGAAAATCCTTTTGGCCTTCGATCCTGCCTGAGAATCATCTCTGGTAGCGGCGCTACTCTCGCATACATCTCGCTAAGCGAGCAGATCTGAAATATGAAATAAAATCTCCGCGGAGCGGACAGATATATAATGATGAGATGAAATCCCCGCGGAGCGGTCAGGTATGTAAAATAAGATGAAATCCCCGCGGAGCGGTCAGGTATGTAAAATAAGATGAAATCCCCGCGGAGCGGGCAGATATGTAAAGCTACATTGTCGCAGAGACTCGACTAAATCAAATCAAATCAAAAACCTCGCAAAGGCGAGCGATATGGATAAGAAACCACCTGGCCGAACTCACTCTTCAGCATGAACTTGTGGTTCCTCGGCGAGTGTCGGCTTCTCGGCGAGAATATCGAGTCCCCTCAGACCTCGTTTCCTCGCAGACTCGAACTCCGGGTCATGAACCAGCGCCCAGTAGCTCCTGCACATGAAAACATCTAATAGCTTCTGCGCCTCGTACTTTATCTTCGTGCAACCATCTGCTACCTGCGCATGAGAATGAACCCAACGAAGCTCGGCACCGCACTCTTGAACTCCTTGCTTGAACGCCATGCACTCGATAGCGGCGCGCTTGTCGCTGAGACCCAGTGCTGAACTCTCCGAACCAGTAACTGCATCGTATAGGCTCTTGCAGTCCGTGACGAGAACACTCTGTGGTCCCTTCTTGATCATGTCGTAGCGCTTGTCGCCCTTGAGCTGCACATCTGCGCTCAGCATCTCCATCCAAGCTAGATGTGTATACTCCCGCTCCTCCGCGGCCTCGCTTGCTGCTTGGATTTCTGCACCCAATGATGAACGGCACTTTCGTGTCAGCTTCTTGGAAGCTCCCGTGAATACTGTGAACTTCTGCTTCTTGCCGCTGAGCGCCTCCACCTCGGTAGTGCACACAACATAGCCTCCTTGACTGCTCCCATCTGCTCTTGAACACCACGATGCATCGAACCAACATACCCACGCCATCTGCTTATAAGGATGTATGGTAACTCCTGTGCTCGCAAACTCGTGAATAGTCTTGACCAGCTGGTTGGTCCTGCCGAGGTCCTTGGCCGTCGCACTGTTGACAACCGCTTGTAGCATAGAAACGTGCACAGCAATTTGAGGCATCGTCTGTGTTGAAAGCCATTGAGCTTGACCAAGGATGGCACGGCATGCAGTCACTTCTCCGGCTGTCAGCTTGTCGTCTGGACTAGCCTTTCGGCCTCTCTTGACGTTGATCGGCTGGATGGTCTTGGCATACTTTTCTTGACTTAGCCTGAAGCCTCCATCTGGATTTCTGGAAACTTCAACTCCACAAACTGAATAGCCAGCCTCGTCTGACTTCCACATGCCCCATCGGTATAGCGTCTTGAGATGCTCGTACTCCACGTTGAACTCCACGTTGGTGAGGCCACCCGCAATCTGGAAGTCATCCACATGCACCAGGATGAGCCCGATCACCTTGTTGTCAGAGTTCAGCTTGGTGAAGAGACACGGCTCGAGCTTGCATGCATACCAGCCTCTGCTCTCTAGATCCTTCTTGACCTTTTCGTACCACCGCCTGGGTGCATTCGTAAGTCCATAACAGGCCTTGAGAATCTGCACAACGTCATCGTCATTGAGCTGTAGTGCTTCTCGTAGTTGTGGTACTGGTAGTGCATAAAGCTCTCGCTCTTCCTCTGTAGCTTCCCCTTGCAGGAACGCCGACGAAGCATCCGCAAGCCACGTCTGCCATTTCTTTTTGGCCGCCTTCTGGTATAGCATCTGGCGCGCTCGCCTCGAGGGTGTTGGCGATTCGGTCTTGAGCGTCTCGAGGTCCTTGTCGGTGTAGCCGATGAGTACCAGTCTGGCCTTGGCCTTCTTGCCGCCTTCCGCTTCTGGATCCTCCTTCCAGGTAAGTACCCAGCGCATCTTCATCAGGTCGACGTCCGGTAGCTTGCTCCGAAGTACACCTCGGCACGCCTGCGCGAGTAGAAATTGATCAACTTCTTTCTTCATAGCCACGACGAACTTCGCCTTGTCCTTGTCGTCCAGCTTCTTGTAGCTGACCTCGATGCGCTGCCTCCTAGCCTGTGTAGCCACGTACAGCCTGGGGTCCTTCACGAAGCGGTTGAGGGCGTCCCGGGAGGGGACCGCGATAGACAGGTAGACGGCGTCCTGGCGCTCGGTGGTGACGTCCTGGTCCTCGCTAGTCTTCTGAACTGAGTTGGGGTCGTCGGTCATCCGCTTGCCGAACTCATCCAGGTCTCTCCCGCGCTTGGTTCCGGTTCTCGTAGTCTGGCGCGACTTCTTGACTGCGGCGTCTTCTTCAGCTTCTTGACGTCGCCGAACTCCAGGTACAGGTAGGTCTTCAGGTAGTTGGCCTGGTGGTTCTGGCGCTTCGAGATCTTCCGATGAAAGGTCGTCCTCCTTCTCTGACTTTTTGTCCTCGGACTTCGTATCCTCCTCCTTGGTCTCGGCTGCCCCTGTAGGCTCCGATGTCGTAGGCGCCTCGGTCGCCTGAGTCTCGGCAGCAGCTGGCTGCCCACCTCCCGCCTTCTGCGGAAAGGGATCCTCTGGCTCCATCACCCACGCGTCATCTTCATCGTCGAGATCTGGAAGGCGTTGTCCGATCAGGTCCTCGAATTCGCTAGCCTTGACCTCCAGCATGGCAGCGGTGATGTTAAGAGGAACCGCCTCTCCATGAAGAAGTTTGTGGATCTCGATCTCCGTCTCGGTAGCTGGTCGAAGGTGGCCACGTCCTGCTCGTAGAAGTCGGCCGTGGTGCTCTATCCAGACGACTGACCCTGGATTGCCGTCCGAGCCGGGCTCCTGGGCGATGACTGTCGCCGGGCCAGCCCAAACTCCACCAGGCATCTTAACGTTGCCCTTCGCCTTCTCGGACCACCAGTAGCAGAGCTGCCCTGTAGTCCAGTGTGTCTTCTCTCTGGTCTTGCGTAGCTCCAGTAGGGCAAGACGTCGTCTAGAAGTAACCTCGAGGAAAGCCTTCCTCGCCTCGAGTCGCACCTTCTGGTTCTTGATGTACTCGTCGTCGTCGGCCTCGTAGGTCTTGCTGAGGATCGGCATGTTGTGATCTTCGCCGAACACGTCGCCCACGATCGGCTCAGGGGTCCTGCCCAGCATCATCTCGTAGGGGCTGTGGCCTTTGTACCTGCCGAGATCGTTCATGGCGGCGATCGCCTCCCAGAAAATCTCGTCCGCGGTAACCTTGGCGTCGGATTCCTCTGCGATCTTGGTCATGGTGTCCTTTAAGATGCCGATATTCCTCTCACATAGCGCTAGCTGGTTGTGAGCCTGCCGAGCGGTGACATCCACCATGATGCCGCGCGACGATAGCCATTCCTTGACTCTCTTCTCGACATGGCAGCCTTCACCGTCCAGGCGTAGTAGAGCAGGTCGTCCGTAGCACTGCATCCACGTCTGCTGCAAAGTCTTGCGGAACTTCTCGCCTGACCTCATGAGTCGGCCCTTGAGGTTGAGCTTCCCGCCGCTGAGCCGAGTGCCTGTATCGACGATGTAGGTCCCGGTCCAGGTCTG